CGGCCGCCCTGCCCTCCCCGGGATGCTTAACGCGGGGCGCTATGCGCTGCTTAACAGGCTCCGAGCTGCTCGGCGACTTGTTTTAAGCATTTTTTCTCCCTCGCTCTCGCTTTTAATCTTGTCTCTAGTGGCGTGTGTAGGGGGGGAGGACTTTATTTCCATTGGCTAAGCTCTCCCTTCCCACCCACATCCCTTCCACATCACCTTGGTGTCTCCCTAAATAAAACCAGCCCTCCTTATCGCCTGGAAAAAATCAGGAGCTAGAGTTTGAATGGGTTTTATATAAACACTCACCCCTGTCAGCTTGCGGCTGGGCTCTCAGGATAAACTCACCGCACCTGGCCTGATGCTGGCCCCGGGGGTGCTCTCCCTTGAACGTCAAGGTTTAAGCTGAGCTGGAGGACTGGGAACTCCTCTGAAATTGGATCAACCTGAAGCCAGTCGCGGAACTGCACAGGGTCCTCATGGACCTCAAGGAGAGCCCCAGCGAGGGCAGCCTGCAGCCCTCTAGCCTCCAGATCTTTGCCAACACCTCCACCCTCCACGGCATCCGCCACATCTTCGTGTATGGGCCGCTGACCATCCGGCGTGTGCTCTGGGCCGTGGCCTTCGTGGGCTCCCTGGGCCTGCTGCTGGTGGAGAGTTCGGAGAGGGTGTCCTACTACTTCTCCTACCAGCATGTCACCAAGGTGGACGAGGTGGTGGCCCAAAGCCTGGTCTTCCCAGCTGTGACCCTTTGCAACCTCAATGGCTTCCGGTTCTCCAGGCTCACCACCAATGACCTGTACCATGCTGGCGAGCTGCTGGCCCTGCTCGACGTCAACCTGCAGATCCCGGACCCCCACCTGGCTGACCCCACGGTGCTGGAGGCCCTGCGGCAGAAGGCCAACTTCAAACACTACAAACCCAAGCAGTTCAGCATGCTGGAGTTCCTGCATCGCGTGGGCCATGACCTGAAGGATATGATGCTTTATTGCAAGTTCAAAGGGCAGGAGTGTGGCCACCAAGACTTCACCACCGTGAGTACTTGGTTTTCAGCTTACTTTTGTGCTTGGTCCCGTTGAGAAGTGCCACGCCGGTGGTCTCCTGCTTGGTTTGGGGTCTCCCTGTGCTTTGGAGCAGGAGACAGAGGAGCGCCTCATTGGAAGGCCAAGAGGGTAGTTGGCCAGAGTTGTTGGTAGTGATTGGAGAAGCCTGCCCGCGGGGAGGGAGCACCGTTGTGGTCAGATGGGAGGGGAGTGAGAAGGAAGCTTGCTGTGGGGGTTCACTTCTCCAGATGTGCTGTGTTGGCCTCCTCCCAGCCAGAGGGAGGAGGCCTGATTTGTCTGTTGTCCAGGGCATTTGGTGTCTGAGCTGTGTGATTGGAACAGCTTGTCATTGACGAGGTGGCATTTTTTCTTTCTCTCTCTGCTCGGAAGTGCTATCAGGCACTGCATCCTGTGGGCTGGGCTGAAGCTAAAACTGCCAGAGAAGGGGGTGTGGGGCCCCCCCGGCAGCTTGGATGGTTCCAGTGGCTTTGGGAGCTTGCTGGAGCAGGTGATGCTGCAAAGGTGTGGAAGTCTCTTTGCTTCCTTTTCTTGTGTGGATTCTGAGCTCCATGTGGGGAGAGGAGAGGCTGGGGACGCCGGGTCTCCATTGGTCTGGTGGCAGCAAAGAGATGTCCAGGGTGCTTGGGCCAGAGAGGAGTGTCTAGGTGGAGGCCCGTGTGTAGGATGGTCAGCGACATGCCTGTGAGGGTGAAGCAGTCCAGGCTGGCTTGTCTGGGAGCTCCAGCTTGAAACCGAAAGGCTCAGTTTGCTGTCTGTATAATCACTTAACAACGTGGATGCGGGAGGAGTGGTGTGGGGAGGGGGTGAGCAGCTGTGGGATTGGAAAGCCTGGAGGAGGAGTGTGGAGCTGAGTATAGAAGAAAAGCTGAGGGGAGGGATGTGGCTCACATTCAGGATGGGGCTTCCTGGAGGGGCAAAGAGAAAGGAGAGGAGGAGAGCTGTTGCTGCTAGCGTTCTCTGTTTGCCCGGTTAGTAAGCATAACTTGGCACAGCAGGTCAGACTGCAGCTGCAGACAACTCTTGCTTCCAGGCAAGTCTGGGGCTTCAGGGTCTGTGGGACCCTCCAGAAGCCCAGTGTGGCTGCTTCTCTCATTGCTGCCTTAGGGGGAATCGACAGCTTTGGAATCTCAGAGCCTTGAGCCAAATTCTAATTGTAAGTTTGGGATGGCAGGTGCAGCAGTTGCAGAGGGACTGGACTCTGTCATCAGCACTTGTCTGGGGCCCTCTGCCTAATTAAGACATACCCTGCCTTTGCTATGGTGCATCCATTCTCCACCTGCTCTCAGATCCACTGCCTACTAGCCTCTTGCTCTGAGTTTCTTTTAATGCTACAACCAGTCTCTGCCCACAGCCTCTCTGCTTGCTGTTGGCTGTCTCTGATTCTGGAAAAGCTCAGAGTATG